TCGGTTCGTCGATCATTTCTAGTAATAATTAATATATGAAACAAAACTAGTTGATCCTTTAAGTAATGTTCAAAATATTAATATGAAATATGAATAGGAATTAATTAATATTCAAGGAAGAATATTATTAAAGGAGATGAATCCTACTATAATTAATATCAAGATGTTAACTAATTGTCATCTTAGCAACACTCCCCAACATTAATATAGAGGAAGAAAATACTACTCTAACTAATATCAAGATGTTAACTAACTGTCATCTTAGCAACACTTCTCAACATTAATATAGAGATAGTATTAAGGAAAGAACTAATAATTAATATTCAAGGGAAGAAGTTAAGAAAATAACTCACAAATTTAATAATCAACAAGCTTCAAGAGCAACACCAAGAATTGGAAGTTTAGCTCCTCATTTGGAGAGTAAACATAGCTAGAAAAATATAAAGAAATGATATTCTAAACTGAGCTTAAGAGTACGGAAGAAGGGATGATTTTTAAAGAAGAAAAAGTGTGCTATTTATAGGTGTTTTTCAACACCTTTGGCCGGGTACCTGACCGGGTATAATACTTACCCGACCGGGTCCGGTCAAAATCAGATAATCCGCCACGTTCTGGTGATCTTCAGCACGTCGTTTTGTCCCGGGTCAAGTAGGGGACCCGACCGGGTCAAGTGTCATACCCGGTCGGGTTTTAGCTCCTGGACAGTCTAACCTCCTTTTTCTTCAATTCAAAGTCCTCCTTTTCAACACCATAATTCGTAATTCTACTTTACAACTTACAAATGAAGATTAAAATACAATTACAACTAAAATCACACAAATGTTTATAAACTAAATAAAACGATAAACAATACATACAAATCCAACATAAAAACATACACTTATGCACTACTAATTAGCGCATGTCAGTGACAAGATCAACATCCCTAATCTAACATCTCGTTCGTCGATCCTGCCTCCCATTTGTCTTCAACTCCTGCTTCTCTTTCTTCCATTCCCATTCGACTACCTCCCGTCCATCCTCCACCTCCAAACTCTTCCCACATCTCCAGTCTTCTACTCGCAAGCTCTTGACTCCACCATCTGCCACTTGACCTGGCGTAAAGACTTCGATTCAGATGGTGAGATGACGATGACATGGCTGCGGCAGCGACGATGACCTTGGAGACAACGGTCAATACTGACCTACCTCTTCTTCCTCCCCTTTCTTAGTCTACACTAACTTGCCCCAGATCTAGATCTCCAACACTGCGATTGCGATGGAGATGACACGTTTAAGGTTTTAGATCTGATATTGGTGGCTAAGGTTGCGATGGGGGTGTGTTACAGGAGAAAGTGCAACGGTGGGCAGTGGTGGCATGGTGAAATGCGTCGGTTGTAGGGCTAGGGTGTGTTGGGCAGTAGATTGGGGCTGGGAGCTAGGGTTGGGGAGGGGCTTGTGGGGTGACTGTTTAGGTCGGCGATAGTTGGCGGTTGTCGGGTGTGTGGGGGCTGAGTGTCGGGGAGCGGGGGATGACAGGGTGGGGGCTTGAGAGGGGGTTAATGAGGTTGTCCCTGAGAGAGTGGAGGTGGGAGGTTACCTGGTATAGTGGAAAGTGGTGGTTGCCGGCGGTTGGTGGAGGTGGGAGGTCTGGTGGATGGTGGTGACCGGCTGTGGCGGGTCATGGCTGGAGTCACTTTGGTCGTGGCCGGGTTTGCTCCTTTCTTTTTCGTCCGATCCCGATTGATCCCATCTTCAATCTTTGACTTCTTTTGACTCTAAAAACGTTCCTTAATCGCCCCGTGGGTCTCCAGCGCCTCCAGTCAACTCTCGAACACGTCTCAAATCTTTCCAAATTTTCTCCAACGCCGATGTCGACTTTAAATTCCTGATTTTTGCTTCTAAAAACAACAAACGCAGACCAAACCAGGTAAACTATGACTTGAACTAATTAAAAGCTTTGTGACTTATTTAGATTAGAAAAAGTGGTAAAAATCAATCCCAACACGCATCAAATGCGTGTTGAAATATAAATCGAACAAAACCAAACAAACTAATGAAATTCAATATATCCTCCATATATTATTAAATAATAACAAATTCAAATCGAACCAAACAAAACTAAACCGAACCGAAAAATAGTATTCTTTTTATTTGGTATTAATTCTCCCAACCCGTTCCAAACTAAACCGAACTGAAACCGATAAAATCAGAACCAAAAACCGATACGCCCACCCCTAGGTTTAGCACTAGGCTTGTGGCTAATGGGTTCACTCAAAAAGAGGTGGTAGATTATGGTGAAATCTTTTCTCCTGTGGTTTGTGTACTATTGTTGGTTTTATGTTTGATTTGGTTGCTTACTATGACTAGGAAATGAAACAAATGGATGTTACCACTGTTTTCTTGCATGGTGACTTGGATAAAAAATTACATGACCCAACATAGGGGTTTGTTGATCTCAAGAGGAGTAATCATGTGTGTTTGCTTAGAAAGAGCTTGTATGACATGAAAAAATTCCCTATACAATGGAATATTAGGTTTGATCAGTGAATGCGATCCATGGAATTTGCTAAATCTGCTTGTGATCATTTCTTATACTAAAAGAATGTTTCGTTTGTGCTTGTATATCTGCTGATCTATTTGGATGATATGCTCTATCAATTCATGTCTCAAATCTATTGCTTCTGCGCAGAAATGCTTGTGTGAGAACTTTGCTATGAAAGACCTATGTGATGCCAAGAGGATCCTAGGCATTAATATTGTAGAGGATAGAGATGCATCCACACTTATTCTAAACCAACTTTCATATGTTGAAAAAAAAAATTGAGTAAATTTAATATGTTAAATGCTACTCCTATGAATGTTTCTCGTGCATCTCACTTTGTGTAAAGTAAGGACCAGTATCCAAAAACTGCTCCTGGAATTGAGAAAATGAAGTTTGTGCCTTACTCTAATGCCATTGGTTCTATGATGTATCTTATGGATAGTCTAGATCTCATATTGCATATGTTGTTAGTTGCTTAAGTAGATAAATGTCTAATCCAGGTATATTGCACTGAATGCTCTGAAATGATTGTGAAGGTATCTTAAGTCATATGTTAATCATAAGTTAGTTTTTGCTAAACATGTTGAAGGAGTAAACTTTGTGGCTACTTCTACAATTTGTTTTTGGGTCCTCGTGACGCATGAATGTCTTTGTGCATCTCCCATTTATTCACCAGTTCATGTCCAACGGAATGTTACTGGTGACCCGACAATGATGAACTACATACTATTTCTTTGTGTTACTTAGCATCACCTCATAAGCCAATAAGGTAGTGAATGTGGATGTATTGGCCTTATTGGCTAAGGCAGCCCGTCTTCCATTTTTGATCGGCCCCAATCTTGATTGGCCCTTGTTAAGCCCAACCCCTTCCCTCCACCTGTTTAATTACTTTTGTCAATAAAATCTATTTCCTATTTTTCCTACTTTTTTTCATAGCTTCCTTCCGCCACTCCCTGAATTGGATTTCTTAAAAGTTTCTCTTTCCTACCACACTTTATATTGTTCTCACTATTTGCTTATTAAATACCGTGAAAAAATTAATAAGACACTCATAAATGAATGGAAAGGGTGTACAAAGGATATTATATAAAAAAATTCAAAATCTTAAAATTTAAAGTGCTCTTGACCCCATAATGTTCTCCCACTCAATTACTTTTTAAAAATGTCCCAAAACATTTTCCATTTTCTTTTAAGGAATGGTTTGCGTGGTTAATTAATAGTGTTTCACCTCTTTCAGCCTCAAACATAACCAAATATTTTCATTTTATTAATAAGTGTGTCAATTTAATTTGAAGTGGGAAAAGTAATTTAGGATGTAGGTAGTATTTATTAGAATATTCAGTAAATAGTTGAGTAATATATTCTGAAAGCATAAAAAAGTCGAAACTTATTACTTGTATATTATAAAAATCACATGTAAGATCTATCTACATAAAATTCGCTATTGTTCCGTACTGTTTTATTAGATTTATAAAACATTTTCTAAGTCCTTAGATTAGCTAAGATTATTTTTATTTTTGTGCACTGTGCTCTAAGCCTTGGGAGACGATTTTGATATTTTTCTCAATCACTTCTATAATAATGATACCATCACCAATAAAATATCTTTAAATAACATTGAAAAATTTAATGACTACAAATACAAGAACATTTTGTAGTAAATTCCCTAAAAAGAATAAAATGTACCCGATACTAGATTTTCTCAAATTGGAGTGGCATTACTATCTTCAGAATAAATAACTCGATTATTTACTTATAATCATTTTTTTCTTTTGTTCTTTTTAATAGGACTCAATAACATAATTCTAATTTAAAATTTTATCCATATTTACTGTTGTATTATTATGTTTGAACAACTCTTAACTTTGTAATGACAGTAGATCTCATTAAATATCACCTGCTAACAAATCTAATATACATGTCTTAAAGTCAAATGCTACTACTTAGTTCCAATGGTGAGATAAATGCAACACGGTTGAGAGGTTGATGCATAAGCATATTACCCTCGATCAATGCGCCAAATTAAACAATGTTAGCTTTGACCTTATCTTCTCCGGGGCAGATATAGTACCGGCCTAACAAATATTTTGATAACCCAAAACCGGTTCAAAAGAACTGATCATAATCGAATCGATAAAATTGAGTCCATGAAAATTTGAATCGAACGGAAACTGACCAAATCAAGACATGTCAAAACCATTTGAAACCCACAAAAAATAACAGAACTAAAGTCTACTGAAAACGGCTTACTAAATGTAGTCCGTTCGACTTGCATTTTTACCTTTCTCAATATCGAACCAACCTAAATCGAACCGATGAAAGCAAAAATCGAGGAAATCAAACCTACGAATGCCCCTATATATACACGAGTTAATTGATCTAGTTTAAACGTGAAACCTAGAGTTTAAAGTTTATTTTCTCTCCATCTATACTAACAACATTCGATTATCAAAACTCAAAAGGTTTTTGATATATCATCACCATGGATTTGAATTCAATAACAACCCCTTCTAAGTATCACTGTTGTGTGTTACGTAACAATGTCATTCTTAATGGTATTGAAAATCCTCCGATGAATGCCTTCGTCTTTCAAATTATAGTCCGCAATGTGATTACCGTTTACTATCTTTCCCATCAAACCAACCAGTGGGTGCTTCACTGCAATCTAAACGAAGAGCCACACTTTTCCAAAAATCTCATACTTCTCGCTTCCAACTACAACAACATGTTCGGTGACTTAAGCACAAGCTTCAATGAGGTAGCTATGGTTCTCACAGAAGCTGCCATTCCCATCTCGGAGCATCCTTCCATCATGGCAAAACTCAACTCCACCGCTATGGCGGTGGTACGACGGTTTGGCAACCTTGAGGACAAAACCATCCCCCTCGTGGTTGATATTGCTAAGTCACACTTCCAGATCATCAGAGATCCCTTCCAACCCAACCTTCAAAAGTGTGTGAACAACCAGGTAGTGATTTTCTTTCAAAATTAGAATGTGTTTGATATCCTTGATTTTCGTCTTATGAGCTTAAACCAATTAAACTACTTTAAATCATCACTCAACTTTTTAATCAAATTTGAACTTTTCACGCACTAGATTGTGTAATAACTTAATTAATAGGGCATGATTACTTTTCTAGATGAATTGATTTAACTTGTTGATGAGGAACACAACAACAACATCCAAGCCTTATTCCCAAAAGATGTAGGGATCGGTTAACATGAATCGATCCATGATATTAGAGGTAAAAAGATAAGAAAGATAAGAAAAAATGTAAGATAAAACGGATAAGATAAAGATAAATATAAGATAAGAAACATAAGAACATAAAAAAGATAAAAGATAAAAATAACATAAGAAACTAAAAAGATAAAGAAGACAAAAGATGAGAGAGAAGAGAGTGAGGAACACAATTTATTAGGCTTTATTAATATTATTTTTTGTACTTCAGTAATATTTTTTTTTTCAAATTCTGCTCGTTTAGCCAGAATCTAAACAAAAAATAGAGAATTAAGTCAATTATTATAGCATTAAAACATGCTCTTAATCTCCTAAATAAGACGCTTTGGTTACATGTATGGGACTGTTTTTTACATTTCAATTAGCTTACAGAATTGGCGGTCACTTTTATTAATTATTACGATGTTTTCAAACTGATTGATGTACAAAACTTGATCAGATCAATCTTCAACAGAACTAACAGATCTAACTATATAAGAATGGCTTAAAAACACAGATTAACTTACAAACAAATTACACATAATATTAGATTTTATTTAAAAAGACGTGAAAATGCATTTCCATCAAAGTGTAAAAAATAGTCTGAGATTTACATTCTTAGTTCTCCAAATATAACATGAGTTATTCATGCTCAAACTATTGTAGAAAAGTTCAAATCACAAAATGATGAGATGATCACAAAAGGAAAAATCAACTTCATTACATGATTAAGAAATAAATCGAAAAAAAAACAAAAGTAGGATTAAAGAAACGCTCATTAAGCCAATAGCAAGAAGACTTGAGTGACAAAAATTCATTAAATAAATAAAGGATATCAATATATAAAAGAACCTATACGTAACTTCTTGAATTATTACCACATAATTTTTTTTCTACTATTCAGTGGACATCGACTGATAGTGGCGGATTTGAGGAGTTTGGTGATAATGAGGAACAAGAACATCAAGCTAACAATGAGGTGACAAGGTTGTCCATGGAGAATGAGGAGGAGGGAGAGGAGGAGTACCAAACTTCTCCGGCAACAGAATCTTCAATCGCCGCATTGGAGAAGGTGAAGTCGAGCGAAAATGGAGAATGTGCAATCTGCTTGGGAGAAATGGAGGTGAACGAAATAGTGATTCGCATGCCTTGCGGCCACAAGTTTCATGGAGGATGCATTGTGCAGTGGTTGGGAAAGAGACATGTTTGTCCCTTGTGTCGTTTTGAAATGCCGATAGCCACCGCCGCAATGGATGGCCGTTCTACCGCCTAATTAGGGGCATTTTAACATGCAATATCGTTTAATTATGTTTAGGTAGTGATTTGGTTGTGCAATTTGTGTTACAAACAGTCAGTTTTCAATTTTAATTAGGGGGTTATTCATTAATTTGTGATTCTGGCACCTGCGCATGTATGTTGTGTTAAGATTATGTAGCTTTCATTTTGAATTAATTGATATAAAGTTATCAGGACATGCTTTTACATTTATATTTTCGAACATTGAATTATATTGACTATTTAAATTGACTTTTGAACTGGTTAGACATATTTTGAATACACTTATATATTTTCCTTGAGAATATTACTCCCTCCTCCGTTCCTAAAAATTCTTCCCGGTTTGACTTGGCACGCTTATTAAGAAAGTGGAATAAAGTGGAAATGTATGGTTGTGGTTGTGCAAGAAAAAGGTAAAATGAATGTGAGCCACATAAATTGTCCAAAATGGGAAAGTGGGAAGTATTTTTGGGAACAGCCCGAAAAGGAAAGTGGGAAGTATTTTTGGGAACGGAGGGAGTAGCTTTATTCTTATTTACAATTTTTGGTTTCAAGTTTCAAGTAGCTATAATATATAACTGGTTAGGTCATAACGTATTATTTGGAACAACATATTTTCATCCCATTTTTTCATTTATCAACTTTTAAGAAACTAAGAGGTATAATAAAGTTCAAAAAATCTTTTCGTCAAATATGATACACAAATGGAAACAGCCTATGGAGAACTCAAACACGTACGCATCGCAGATTGAGGACACATGTAGTTATTTGGCAATGGTTGAGATAGAAGACTTTAATTTAATGTTGCAAGGATTGGCCTGGCCCTGGGATATTCATTCTCTTATCATTGTTACTTTCTATCTCTAGCATGCACTTAACTCCAACTTTCGTGGGTGGACTATATTAGCAGTTTCGAATAAGCATGCATGGGCTCCTACTTATTTCAGTGTTTAACTGATCCAGGCCAGCCAAATTTCATGTGCTGAGTTAGTTAGCTATATATGATCACTCCTATTTTTTACCCCTTACAAAATGGTCGGTGTACTTGAAGTTTATACTAGTTTCTCCTCAAATTGGTTGGGGGCCGGGGAATATAACCAAATGAAGTCAAAAAAGTTATTCATTTCAAAATACTCTCAATTTCAGAAAAATTTTGTGGAGTCGTCGTGGCATGGAACTATGGTATATATGCGAATTAGGAAGTTTGGTAGGATAAAAATTGATCATCGTTATATTTTATCAAAGCATTGGTTATCTAGGAAGAAGAATAGAAGTGATACATACTACGTAATTACGTATAGTATATGTTTAGAGGAATTGTGACGTGTTCGAGTGTCTGAGTGATAAAAGGAGATTAGCTTTTCAATTTTTTTTTGATAATCCAGGTGGGGGCTTACGCTCCCATAATCCTGGAGTTTATGAAGTACCCTCCAAAGCCTCTAGACAGTTAAATCCGGATATGATCACAGTCAGTCTCGTCAGTACTGACTCCAAAAGACGAATTCAGCAGGACTTACATCACCTTTCAGGCTGCTCCTCCCACCACACGAACCAGCTACCTTCATTACCATCTTCTTCCTTCTCAGCCACTGAGCAACTCCGTGAAGGTAGGAAGAATCATTGAGAGAAAGACCTTATCTCCCCTTGATGATAATTGAACCCAAGACCTCCCACAAAGGAGAGGCTTGGGGGTGGATGGTCATCCAATGGACTATACGGACCTTCCCAGGAGATTAGCTTTTCAAAATGTCACATTAGGACTAAAATTATCAAGTACCAATCGTAATAAATAGCACAAGAAATATGAACGTCTCCAAGTAGATCGTGTCGTTGAAATACATTTAATTAGTTCTCTCCTCTTGTTATCACCCACAAATTTTACTTTTCATTTTGTCCAAAAAAATCTTTACATTCCTTTTAAGAAATACTTTTTATTGTTGTTTAGCACTACATTTATAGTACAAAGAAGATATGATGGTGTTAATTTTATACCCCTACTATTTCACGTACTCTTAAAAAATGTGCCAACAGCTTTTGTAGTAAACAAAAATTACGGAGGGAGTAAAAGAATCATACCGTAAAGGATCGTAAACCGCAATGGGATCTGTTTGTAAAACAAAAAATATGTAGTTTATGAATATGTAAAAAAAATTTCCTAAAAAAAATTTGAGTGCGGACAAGGATCTGTTTGCTTTATCGTCGGTCAAGCATCGTAAACCGCAATGGGACAGTAACAGGGGGACGGAGGGAGTACCTTTTAAGCTTCCAGAAAAGTACCAATACTGATTATCTTGTTTACGTGTGTATACACATGAAGGACCAGAATGGTTTTAAAGGAATATATGCATACTCATGTTCTAATAACCGGATACGAAGTAATATAATACTTCCCTCCGTAACATTCATATCTTCTCACTTTTCTTTTTTAGCTGTAACATTCATATCTTCTCATTTCTAAATCTTCCTATCATACCCTCAATAATTTTAAAAATAATACACTATTACAACTACTTTTTTTGGATTTATCATTCATTCCAACACACTATTTCATTATTTCCCATCATACCCTCAATAATTTATATCTCCTTTCACTATTCTTAATCTCACTTTTCAGATGGGAAGATATATCTGTTACGGAGGTAGTAATAATAATAAAACCTAATAATTTTAAGTTATGCAGCAACCGGATTGTTTCATGAGATCCATACCTATTAGGACTTCAATTCTAATTGGACTCACGTGCTCCTTATGGAGCATGTCACATGCCCTGTAAAATTACTGGTCTAAAAATGGCCAAATTGCCGTATAGCTTAACAACAAAGCTTTTGCGTTTTATTTTCAGTATTGATGATCTTTACCTTCTTTTTTAATTAATTTTTTTGTACTTTTTTCCCATCGTTTATACGAAGTAGTATTCGTAGTTTTTAATATAATCTCTTCTGATGCTTTTACACTATTCACTATTCAAATTTTTTCCATTTTAACCTATGTACAAACTCTATAAGAGCAAACAAAAAATAATTGAAAGTTTGTTTGTGTGGTTGTTTGTGTGTGTGTGTACTCTTTACCTTTCAAAAAATATTGTTGCTAATAGTAAAAAATGGATTCATAACAGCAAGTACTTTTGTACAACTTCACAGAATATTAGTGAAGATGCAGCCATGCAGAGCAGCATATGTCCTTGTTAAACTTCCAATTGGGGAACGTATATATATATCGTTCTACTCTTCATCTTCAGGGACAACCTCAAGCTCCTTGCCATGGCTGCCTTCCTCTGTGTATTGTTCATCGCCTGCCACATCAGCGTCACCAACGGTCTTATCTACTGAGGATGATGCAGCAATCTCACAATTATCTACTTTTCTTTGCAAGCTCCAATGCATGATGCTTGCTGTTAGAGTGAGGATCATCTTCTGGTTCACCTGACACAAAGTAGAATAATTGCAAATTTCACTCATGCAAGCTTTTGATTCCCATAGGAGAGCTTAGTGTTTGGCATTATCAAAAACTTTTCACCAAAGAATGTTATTTGTTGGAATCAAGGGCGGAGGTAGGGAGCCCGACTGAGTCCCGGTCCACCCCAAATTTGAAAAATATTTGTATTTTATATGTAAAAGTTTATTTGAGAAGAATATTTATCACGGTCCACCCCAACTTTTGCTTCTAGCTACGCCTTGTTTGCAATGATTCAAATTACTAAATCTGATGTCACAACCTTTGTTGAAGATGATTTTAATTTGCTTAAACATATTCTTTTAAATTACTTAGTTAATTCAGTTTATTCATGCAAATCGACAATTTAAAGCGCTGTCAAAATGGGCTGATCATAATCTTCATGATGACTTACTTCCATGATGTCCTCTGGCAATAAAAAAATTGAGCATCCTAGCTTTCGAGCAACACTGATTATATAATTCGCATTCGCCTTCTGGTCCTCCTCTGCAATGATTTTCATCATGGGATTTATTAATGCATACAAACATCTAATAAGGAATTTGTTCTTTGGCAATTAGATTTATGCATCTATAGAGTATTTTATTTCATAGGGTTGAGAACTCAACCCTTAAGCAAGCCTAGTAAATTCTCTATGAACCAGTTGAACCAGTTTGGATAGAGGGGGTTAGAAATGAAGGCTAAAAAATAATATTACCATAATATGTGATATTGTAATATCTCAGGCATCTTCTTCTATTCGTTTTTAGAAGCATTCTATCTACATAGATGGATATGCATTCTAAAATCTTCTTTCATCCGGACACAGTCTCTCTGTGCTTTAGTACAGGGTAAGACTGCGCACATCCGACCTCCCTTACCCCACCATAGGTGGGAGCCTTTGCGGCACTGGGGTAAATGAAAATGATGATGATGACGAGCCCCTCAAACTCCTCCAACCGTACAAAACCTTTGAGTCAGTATGGATAGTAGGCTTAGGAGTGCAAATTCTATATTTTAATGTATATTTGAGATTTTATAAGAATTGAATGAATAACAAGTATAGTTGAACATATAACATTTTAGTTACCCTTTATTAGTTTTAAAAACATGTTATCTATCAATACATAGACCAGAGTTCCTACCCGTTTCCCCCTTGGTCACGAGGCTCCAGTTCACGACCCGAGGCTCCACAGCACTTAGAAGTTCAAGGAAAAAAATTCCATTGGATAGACTCTTATCCTGAAGCAACCATATGAAACACATCACCTTACCATAACGATTCATTGCAATAATACATGGCAGAAAACAGTGAAAGTTTGTTTAAAAACCTTGAAGCTCTCCATTTGAGACGTTCTTCCTACATTCTTCACTTTATTGTTTGCCCAATTCAAGATATCGGTATCTGTTATTTCTTTTCCTTGGGAATGAGACCTCAAGTTTTTCAATAGTTGAAGCATATTAAATCTCATTAACTGCCATAGATAAGCTGAAAGAGAACAAAATGGGATACTTTTACAAGTATGCAATAAGCTCTATAAGAACAATATACAGTCCTTTTTATATTTGGTGGTAGAGCATA